TCTCAGGCCCGGTTGGTTCTTATTTTCGCATTTGAATAACAGATTTGGAGGTTTACCTTCGGTTATAACCTACCACTGTACCTTCTATTTTAATTGAAGCAGTGCCATCTGCAGTTGTGCACTGTTCATTAAAATAGAAAATTAAAACAACAAAAAAAGGACACACTACCAATTAGAGGTCGAGTGCACGTAGGGCATGGTTATAACTATACCTGAATTTGATAGAGTTATTAAAAAGACTAGTGATACCTTTACATGTAAATTTTATGTATTATATTTATATAAAATTTTAATAATTTTTTTTTTTAATGATTGAGGTTTAAGATATTTTTAAGTAAAAAATATTATTATTTTAAATAAATATAATAAATAAATAAATAAATTTTAATTATTAAAAATAAAAAATAAATGATCAAAATTTTATATAAATATAATGTATAAAATTTATATATAAGTAAATTCTTGTTCTTATTAAGAATTATTAATTTTTTTATCTTAATTTAATAATTGAAAATAATTAATAATTGATAAAATAATTAACATTTATTATTTAACATATTAAATTAAATTTATACATATATAGATATTTAAATATTATAATTAATTATTTAAAAAAATTTATAAATTAATAAAATTATAATTAAATGAATAATCTTAACAAACTTTACTGTAACAATAACGGTGCTCTCACCTACGAGGTAGCGCTACTCTTTTAATTGTCACATTACAATTACCTACCCATCACTGTACAATTTAAAATGAAATAATGATAAATTAAACTAAAATTTTAAAACTAATAACATTATACAATTTGTCAACGATTTAAATAATTTAGTAATTATTTCTTTCGTTGAAAGTAAAAAATTTTGAGTTCGAATAGTAAGATATGTGAATGAAATGTGATAAGAGATAAGATAAAAGATGAGATATGATTGCTTTTTATTGTATAATCAAGATAAAAAAATAACATTATACAAATTATGTTATTAAAAATATTAAAAAATTATTATATTTAAAAATTATTACACATTAAATAATAAATAATTTAAAAAAGAATCTATTTTTATATCTTTTTTAAAAACAAATATATTTTTATTTTTGCTTTTTTTTTTTACAAGAGTAATGATTAGAAAATTAATAGAGTTAGTTTGTTAGCAGTTGAAATTTAAGTGTGCGACCATTAAATCGTAAATTGGTAAAATTCACGACGGTGACAGAATTCGAAAATCTGATTTCCGCCTCACCCAAACCCTAAGGTTTTGGGGTCTCAGGCCCGGTTGGTTCTTATTTTCGCATTTGAATAACAGATTTGGAGGTTTACCTTCGGTTATAACCTACCACTGTACCTTCTATTTTAATT